TGCCCCTGTTAATCCTTCAGGGTTCGTCCACACTGTAGCTGGGAGGGGTCAGGCCCAGCCCGGGGAGAGGGACCTGAGCTAGCTCTGTTGAGCTGTGGACAGCAGTGTGGCCACATGCACGGCTGGGGGGTGGGCGGAAGGGGTGTGGGGGTGGGTTGTGTTAGGGAGGGTTGTGGGGCGGGAGCAGATGTGCGGCAAGTGTGTGAGGGTCGTGTGGGGTGAGGCATGGGGAGGTGTGTGGGGGAGTGTGTGAGGAGGTTGTGTGTGGGGAGGATGGCTGTGTGTGGGGCTGTGGGTGAGTGGGGTGTCTGGGTGGGGAGTTGTGGGGGGCTGTGTGGGGGTTGTGTGTAGGAAGAGTGGGAGTGGGGGGGTCACAGGGAGGTTGTCTGTGTGTGGGGGGTTGTGTGTGGGAGGGGTGTGTGGGTAGGGAGTTGTGTGGGGTTCTGTGGGGGTTGTGTGTAGGAAGAGTGGGAGTGGGGGGGGGTCACAGGAGAGGCTGTCTGTGTGGGGGGGGTTGTGTGGGGAGGGGTGTGTGGGTAGGGAGTTGTGGGGGGTTGTGTGTGGGAGGGGTGTCTGGGTGGGGAATTGCGGGGGGCTGTGTGGGGGTTGTGTGTAGGAAGAGTGGGAGTGGGGGGGGTCACGGGGAGGCTGTCTGTGTGTGGGGGGGTTGTGTGTGGGAGGGGTGTGTGGGTGGGGGTTGTGTGTGGGAGGGGTGTGTGGGTAGGGAGTTGTGGGGGGTTGTGTGTGGGAGGGGTGTGTGGGTGGGGAGTTGTGTGGGGTTCTGTGGGGGTTGTGTGTAGGAAGAGTGGGAGTAGGGGGGTCACAGGAGAGGCTGTCTGTGTGTGGGGGGGTTGTGTGTGGGAGGGGTGTGTGGGTAGGGAGTTGTGGGGGGTTGTGTGTGGGAGGGGTGTGTGGGTAGGGAGTTGTGGGGGGGTTGTGTAGATGGGTGGGGGTTGTGTATGGGAGGGGGGTCGCAGCAGAGGGTTTCTGTGTGTGGGTTGTGTATGGGAGGGGTGTGTGGGGGGAGGTTGCGGGGGGGTTGTGTGGGTGGGGGGGTTGTGTATGGGAGGTGTGTGTGGAAGTTGTGTGTGTCACTGCTATCTATAGTGCACTAGCTGGCTCATAGCCAGCACACATCCATCGACCAGAACTGGACCCCTGCCCCACACAGGGCCGACATCACCTTTGAGCCCAGTTCCCCATAGCGGTTGGGACACCCCAGGGCCTGTGCACCCCAATACACACACACACGGGGCCTCTTGCACCTCGCCAAGCTGGCGTCTGCTGGGCTGTATTGAAAACGGTGTTACAATTCCCAGCAATTTGCTTTCCACCGGGACGGGGCTTTCCTGTCCTGCGGCAGGCTGGGGGCTCTGCAGGGCAGCCTGTGTGCCCGGAGGCGGTGCGCGGAGAGCTGGCCTAGAGTCAGGTGGGGTGAATTAGCTCGCTGTACCTTAGCGAGCAGCCTGCTTCGTCTCCCTCTGCTTTCAGCTCTTGCGGGTGAGTGTTCTGGATTCGAAGCAGTAAAGTCATGTTATGGTGCCACCTTCCAGCAAGAGGTTTTGGTGCTGTTAGCTCCTGTCTCCTTGCTGCAGACTCCACTTCCTTTAGGGCTGGTTACCAGGGCTAGAGATGCCATTTTAGTTCATTGCCGTCAAGTTGCAAGCTTAGACTGGGCAGGAGAGGGGCAGCTTCTCTAGTAAATCCTACAGCCCCCCAGGGCATGGAAAACTGGAGCTCTGCCCTTCCTGTGTTATTCCCCCCCAGCCCATGCATGCGGTGGCTGCAGAATTCGATGCATCCGAGGCAAACAAGAGTCCAGTCGGGCTCCAAGCCCAGCCCCACTCTCTCCCAGTCACCATGCAGGGCTCCCTTGTGCTCAGCCTCCTGGCCGTGCTCCTAGCTGCAGCTAATGGCCAAGGTGAGTCTACGAGCCACGTGTTTAACACAATTGTCCTTTTCAACCACTTGCTCCAGCGGAGTCACTCCTGATTTACTCCAGTGTTACCTGATTGGCTAAATTGAAGTCACTCCTGATTTACCCCAGTGTCACCCTATTGGCCCCAGTAACTCATATCCATTTTATGGCTCCTTTACATTGTGCAAATGGCCTTTGTGTAAACTGCTTAGGCTCCGACTGACCGGCCATGCCACCTACCCTTCAGCCACTGCTCTGTAACCCTCTATCAAGTTCGCTCTGATCATTCTCCCATCAAAGGCCTTGCCTACAGGCTGACATGCTGGAAAATTAATCCAAATTAACCAAAGGTGTGATTTTTAAACTGGATTAAATCCCTCTAATTTGATATATAAATGGCCTTAATTCAGTTTCTTAATTTACCTCCAAAGTGAATTAAATTAAACCAAATGAAGGCCACTTTAATCCCAACAGAAAGTGTGGGCAGAGGACTTTAACCAATCCAGTTTAAATTCATACTTTTGGTTAATGCAGATTAAAAGTGGCTGTATTGCAGTTTAATTCACCTGCATCGTAAAGTCAGCTAAACTGAATTTATTGAGGGTGTCTACACTGGGGCTTAATCTGGTTCAATTAATCCAGATTAGTGACACTTGTAAATTCCCCAGTGAGGATAAACCCTTAGGGAAACAAGAGAAGAAGGGTGGGATCTTTCCACTAGAATTAACCCTGGACCCCTGGTGTTTCTTCCCACAGATCCATGTTCAGTTTGTACAGTCTCTGAGTCCCAGGCAAATTGTCCTACCAGTGTGAAGAACTGCAATCAAGAGCCCTGGATCCTCACTCTGGAAACAGTCTTCTCAGGCGAGAGAGAGGGGCCTGGCACTCCCCTTTCCCTCCCGCAAACCTGCCTAACTTTCCAGCCAGCCCACGATGCTCTTACCTCTCTTATCCTGAGCGGATTAGCCAAAATATGGGTTGCTTCCATTAGGGCGAGAAATAAATGAGATGGGTCAGGGCTATTCTTGAGGTGTGGGAGGGTTTGTGCATGTGTGTGAGGTGCGTGTGTGCAGTGGGAGAGGGTTGTGTCTGGTATGGGCTGTGTGGGGGAGGTTGGATGTGTGTGTGGTGGGAGGGGGTTGTTTCTGGTATGGGCAGTGTGGTGTGTGTGTGGGGGTGCTATGGGGGAGAGTTGGGTGTGTGGATGTTGAAGGTTGGTTGCGTAGGGTGTGTGGATTGTGAGTTGTGGGGTGCATGTTGAGGGGTGGGGGTTGTTGTGGGTGGGGGCCTGTGTATTGTGGGGGGATTATGTCAGGTCTGGGGTTGTGGGGGTGGTGGGTTGTGTAGGGTGTGGGGGTAGTTGTGTGTATTGGGGAGGTTGTGGGGTGAGTGTGTGGGTATTATGGGGGGCTGTGCATGGTTGGGGGAGGGTTGTGTATGTGGGTACTGTGTGTGGTGGGGTTTGTTGTGGGGCAGGGGCTTGTGGGTGGGGGAGGGTTGTGTGGGGAAGGTGCGAGTGTGTGTGTGAGTTTTGTTAGATGTGTGGATGAAGGGATTGTGGGGTGTATGTGTGGGGGTTGTGGGGAGGAAGGTGTGTGGGTGTGTTCTGAGTGTGTGGGTGGGTTGTGTCAGGTGTGTGGATGGAGAGGTTGTGGAGTGTGAGAGGGTTGTGGGGGGAAAGTTTGTGTGTGTGTGTGTTGTGGAGGGCTTGTGCAGTGGGGGAAGGTCGTGTGAGGAAAGGTGTGTGTTCTGAGTGGGTGGGTTGTGTTGAGAGTGTGGACGGAGGAGGTGTGGGGAGCATGTGTGTGCACACACAGGCTGGTTTTGTTGTCGTTTCCCCCTGCACATAGGAAAGGACAACGCGACTGTCACAGCTTGCAGGGAGAACAGTGCTACCTGCCGTGTAAACTTCATCAGCCTGTCCGTTGGGCCCGACAAACAAGTGGGGACCATCTCTGTGTGTTTTCCAGCCGGAAGCTGCCTCCACAATATAACCGTGACCGGTAGGTACCAGGCGCAGCTGGTCGACAGGCGGGAAAACAATGTGCCTGCGAACGTGTGAAATTTCAAAACTCTTTCTGTTTTGCAGGATTAAAAAAGGAGCTTTACATTTTTGCACGTGTGAAATGTTGTTTTTATAAAACCTCAAACTGGCCACATTTCATCTCCCGCCACATTGAAGAGAGACGGACTTTTTCTTTTCTGGTTCAGTGGCAGCTCTGAAAAATCAGAACAAATTTGGTTTCAGCTTGAGTTTAATCCAAAATATTTTCAGTCATTACCTGAAATTTAAAAAGTCAATCTTGGTCCCCCCACCTCCCCCCGCCATATTTTGAACCTGGGTCTCCCACATCCAAGCCCCTCTTCTTCCTCTTCCTCTTCCTCTGGCATTTTGTAACTAAATAAACCCCAAGGTTTGTTTGAGCTATTTCCAGTCTTCTCCTTTTTTCTGTCTGTAACGCTTCCAGATGTCGTCAGTGCTAACAAAGTTACGACGTGCCGGAGGTGCTTCGTTTCATTTTTATTCCTTTAACTGCTCTGCACCTGTTCCCAAAACTGGAGACGTTTGGAAACGTTACAGGGAAAAACCATCCGAAAACACAGATTTCATTCTGTCTGTTACATTTGCTGGCAAAAACCCTGGTCTCCTGGCCCCGAGAGCTGAAAAGCTTTTGAAAACCAGAATGAAAATCAGGTGGCAGCAAACTGAAAATGTTCATTTAGGAATTTCCAGGAGAAAAAAAGATTTTCCAGTGGGACATTTGGCTTATGTTTGATGCGATGAAAAAAAGGGATTGACGCAAAGAAATGGGTGACACGGTCCAAGCGGCCGGCTTGGAGAACTTTAGCAGCAGCATTTGAACGGGGCCAGGTTGCACTGGTCAAAGCCAGAGAGCCGGCTGGTATGGGAATCGAGAGGAGAGATGCTGAGATCCTGACTGAGACTTCTAGCCGTGTGGATGGATAGTTCAGTTGATTCTCCATCCTGAGCCTCTTTGTGTCCTGAAATTCTGACCCGTGGTTCTTTCTCCGATTGTTCCCACTGCCACTGAAAAGTTCAGCCAAGAATGGGCTGCAGTGCATGGCCTGTGATGCGCCGAATGCCGACCAGTGCAAGGACAATGTGAACGTCCCCTGCCTGGGCTCTGAAGATCGTTGCATCGACTTCGCTGGGAGGCTTGGTAATTCCTCCAAAACATGCAGTCTGGCTGGGGAACTGACCTGAGCTCTTTCTGGCAGGAATTCCCAGCTGCCTGGGCTGGTGAAACCCAGAATTCCCTGGCCGATGAGAGCCGATTCGGGCCGACTGATGCATTTTGAGAATTTGTGTCAAATTTGCCAATTTGTTTTTGCCGGAAAAAAACAAAAAGTTCCCATTCAAAATACCGTTTTCTGTCAGTTTTTATATTTTGAAAAAGCATTAAGAGCCCCTCAAAAAAACCCTCCCATGAAACATTCCCTTTCAACCCCAAATGTAATTAACTTGTGTCACCGCTTCCATTTTTCCGAAAACCGTCCATTCTGGGTCTACTCAAAACTGAGTGTTTTCAACGATTTGTTAGGCTGGAAACCGACCCCCCAGAATTGGCTACTGGCAAAGCTCTGTGGCCCAGGCTGCTGGGGAGGGGACGAGATGGAAAAGGCCAGGCCATTCTGGATTCTTATCTCCTGTTTATTTCCATCTACAGTCAATACCATCAACACCACATTGGTCTTGAAAGGCTGCACCACACAGAGCGCCTGTGAGCTGAAAATCAATGGCAGCTTCTACTATTACCAGGGCGTGTATACACTGACCAAAGCCAACTGCATTCAGGCCACCAGCAAAGGCTGTTACCCTGCTGTTCATGCCCTGGCGTTCTTTCCGACGTTGGCCGGGCTGCTCCTGGTGAAACAGCTGTCCTGATTTGCCCTCACTCTGCAAGTTCCTGGAGAATCCGCCCCAGCTGCACCCCTTGGGATTTAGGGGTGCCTTTGGGGAGATGAGTTCATCATAGGATGTCGGGCTCTATACGGGTGTGTGTGTGTGTGTGTGTCGGGGGGGGGGAACTAGGTGTAATTTTCCTGCTTCAGTTATGCAGGGCATCAGCCATAGATGGCCTTAAAATCGGTGAATCAATGAATCCAGTGGGTTGAATAAAAATGGCATTGAAACCATTCAGGTGTCTGCTTGTTCCTTGTCAAGGGGAGGCGGTTGAAGGAATTTCCCAGCATGCACAGCACTGTTTTGTGGGAGTCACTCCCTCTTCATAACCCTATAAGAACGGGCCATCCTGGGTCAGACCAAAGGTCAATCTCACCCGGTCTGCTATCTTCTGACAAGGGCCAGTACCAGAAGCTTCAGAGGGAATGAAGAGAACAAGGCAATTAGCGAGTGATCCATCCCATCATGTTGCCTTGCACCCCCTACTTCCTTGGCAGCATGAAAAGCAAGTCGGCGTTTCCTTAGAAAATTTTGATGAATGTGAAAACAAAAATTTTTCTCAATTTTTTGGGCACAGAGTTTCAAATTTTGTTAGGCAGAAAATTTCGATTTTTTTTTCGGAGGGAGATTTGAAAGCTGGAATATTTCCATTGCTGTGATGACTCATGGGAGTTCCAGCACATGTGCCTCACTCATCCGTTCTCTAGAGGCTGGGCTCGCTGGTTGGACTACATCTCCCATGATGCAACATAGTTACTCCTCTTGTCCTTCCTGGGAATCCCTAACCATGGTGCCTCATGGGATTTACTTGTCCCCCCCCCCCCTTTTACTCTATTTTGCTCAGGAATGCGAAAATATTCACACTCCGCTGGACCATAGCTATGCCCACCTAACCCCTGGTGCAGATGTGGCTCGGTCCAGGGAAGAATGGTTCGGCTGACCTAGCTGTTTCTGCTTGGGGAAAGGGATGAGCTACATTGACTGGAAAATCCCTCTGGTGCTGTAGTGTCTTCATAGTGTAGACAAGCCCATTTTCTTTCTCCCTCTCTTTTTCTTTCTCGATTTCCTAGGGCTTTGCAAAAACGTTTTTGTTTCGCAGACAACAGCATTTTGCACTAGACAAAAATAAAAAAAAATGTCTGCGTCATTCAAAAGGCTCCATGAACTAATTTGAGAGAAACAGAATCACAACAGAGTTAGGGAGAAAAACCCTGCTGGATTTTCACTCCAGTTTCAAATCCAAGCCCAAATCCCTCAATTGGTTTTTTTGAATCACTTCATTGGAAAATTCCTCACAACATTTCAAACACAATGAAAGTTTGTCTATGGAAAAATGTCCCCCAAATCATGCCTGTTTTCTCAGCTAGCCCCATGTAGGGGGGGTCTATACTGGAGCGCTTCAGCTGCGCAGGTGCCATGTTTGAAGCGTACATGAGCCCTTGTTAAGGGGGCATTTCACAGGCCTGTTGTGTGAATGTCTATCTGGGAGACACACGGTTGCATATTGTCATTCTTCGCTGCCAAACAACTGCCAGGCAGTGCCCCAGGGCTGGCCGCATTTTGGTGGCAGGTGGAATTCTGCCTGGATTCCACCTGGACAAACCCAGAGTCGTGGACACCTCTGCCCCAAAGAGCTGACAATGTAACTTGACAAGCAAAGCCAGGGCAGGGGGACAGGGTACAACACACCAGTGGAGTGACCAATGGGTGGGCAGCGAATGGCATGTCAATGCCACAATTGCTTTGTGTGGGGCAGGGTGGGTTAGTTAGGTGGGGATCCACTAAATGGGAAGGGAAGTGGGTCTAGGGGGCAAGGGCAGGATAGGAGGGGTCGGCGTGGAGTTAGCCAAGAGGAAGAGACTGAGCGAGAGGGAGGACTGGAACGAACAATCAATCAGCACCCGGAAGAGAAAGTCCAGTGAAAACTGTAGAAAGTTCTTCGGCTGCTTCTGCCCCTACTGGCTGGAGACCCAGCCACCATCACCCGGGGAGGTGGTGGTCCCCCAACTTTGGCAATGGACCTACGCCTCTACAGAGCCTGTAGCGTAGCCATAGCACCATCGAAGTGTAGGGCTGGAAGGGACCTCGCGAGGTCACCTAGTCCAGCCCCTTGCACGCAGGAGAGAACTACATCATAACTAGACCATTCCTGACTAAACAACAAAGTAAGAGAAGCAGCGAGAGGCAAAAAGGCATCTTTTAAAAAGTGGAAGTTAAATCCTAGTGAGGAAAATAGAAAGGAGCATAAACTCTGGCAAATGAAAAGTAAAAATATAATTAGGAAGCTGAAAAAAGAATTTGAAGACCAGCTAGCCAAAGACTCAAAAAGTAACAGCAAAAATTTGTTTAAGCACATCAGGAAGCCTGCTAAACAACCAGCGAGGCCACTGGACGGTCGAGGTGCTAAAGGAGCACTCAAGGATGATAAGGCCATTGTGGAGAAACTAAATGAATTCTTTGCATCGGTCTTCACGGCTGAGGACGTGAGGGAGATTCCCACACCTGAGCCGTTCTTTTTAGGTGACAGATCTGAGGAACTGTCCCAGATTGAGGTGTCATTAGAGGAGTTTTGGGAACAAATTGATAAACTGAACAGTCATATGTCACCAGGACCAGATGGGATTCACCCAGGAGTTCTGAAGAAACTCAAATGTGAAATTGCAGAACTACTAACTGTGCTATGTAACCTACCATTTAAATCAGCTTCTGTCCCAGATGGCTGGAGGACAGCTAATGACACGCCAATTTCTAAAAAAAAGGTCCAGACTTGATCCCAGCAGCTACAGGCTGGTAAGTCTAACTTCAGTACCAGGCAAATTGGTTGAAACTACAGTAAAGAACATGGCATATGTAGCTTAAAACATATTCCAGTTATGTCATATATACATTCATAAGTATATTTCCATAAAGCCTTATGGGACGCACCGTCACAAATACATGAAAACAAATAGGATGAACACACTTAGTAGATTACAAGCTTTCTAATGACACCATACAAGGGGTATTTAGCGTAAAGCATATTCCAGTTATGTCATATTCATAAGCATACTTCCATAAAGAATATGGAGTGCAACATCACACCCATGTTTTTTAATCTTCCCTCATAGGTCCTGTTTTCTAGACCTTTAATCATTTTTGTTGCTCTTCTCTGGACTTTCTCCAATTTGTCCACATCCTTCCTGAAATGTGGCGCCCAGAACTGGACACAACACTCCAGTTGAGGCCTAATCAGTGTGGAGTAGAGCGGAAGAATTACTTCTTGTGTTTTGCTTACCTCACTCCTGCTAATCCATCCCAGAAGGATGTTTGCTTTTTTTGCAACAGTGTTACACTGTTGACTCATACTTAGCTTGTGATCCACTATGGCCCCCAGAACCCTTTCCGCAGGACTCCTTCCTAGGCAGTCATTTCCCATTTTGTATGTGTGCAACTAATTGTTCCTTCCTAAGTGGAGTACTTTGCATTTGTCCTTATTGAATTGCATCCTATTTCCTTCAGACCATTTCTCCAGTTTGTCCAGCTCATTTTGGATTTTAATCCTGTCCTCCAAAGCACTCCAAACCCTTCCCAGTTTGGTATCATCCACAAACCTTATCAGTGTACTCTCTGTGCCATGATCTAAATCATTTATGAAGATATTGAACAGAACCGGACCCAGAACTGATCCCTGTGGAACCCCACTCGTTATGCCCTTCCAGCATGACTGTGAACCACTAATGATTATTCTCTGGGAACAATTTTCCACGCAGTTTTGCACCCACCTTATAGTAGCTCCCTCTAGGTTGTATTTTCCAAGGTTGTTTATGAGAAGGTCATGCGAGACAGTATCTAAAGCTTTACTAAAGTCAAGATTATACCACATCTACTGCTTCCCCCCTTCCACAAGGCTTGTTACCCTGTCAAAGAAAGCTATCAGGTTGGTTTGATGTGATTTATTATTGACAAATCCATGCTGGCTGTTACTTAGCACCTTCTTATCTTCTAGGTGTTTGCAAACTGATTGCTTGATAATTTATTCCTTTCTCTTTCTGGGTACAGAAGTTAAGCTGTCTGGTCTGTAATTCCCCAGCTTGTCCTTATTTCCCTTTTTATACATGGGCATTGTATTTGCCCTTTCCCAGTCTTCTGGAATCTCTCCCGTCTTCCATGACTTCTCAAAGATAATCACTAATGGCTCAGATATTTCCTCAGTCAGCTCCCTGAGTGTTCTAGGGCACATTTCATCAGACCTTGGTGATTTGAAGACATCTGACTTGTCTACACATTTTTTAACCTGTTCTTTCTCTATTTTAGCCTCTGATCCTACCTCATTTTCACTGCTGTTCACTACATAAGATGCCCAAATGCTACTAAACTTTTTGGTGAAAACTGAAACAATAAAGTCATTTAGCACCTCTGCCATTTCCATTGTCTGCTATTGTCTTTCCCTCCTTCACTGAGTAATGCGCCTACCCTGTCCTTGGTTTTCACCTTCCTTCTAATGTATTTGTAGAATGTTTCCTTCTTATCCTTTCTGTCTCTAGCTAGTTTAATCTCGTTTTGTGCCTTGGCCTTTCTAATTTTGTCCCCACATGCTTGTGTTGTGTGTTTATATTAATCCTCCGCTCAGTTCTTCTGTAATGAAATTCCCCCAGCCGGGCACGACATCATGGGCACGAGGCCCAGTTTGACACAACACCCTTGACATGGGGTGGGTACAAAAATGTGTCACCAATGAATGTTTACACAATTTAATGACAAGGAATTTAGCAACCTGTTCTGGACGTGGGAGGGGAGCTGTCATCATGGGGTCAACACCATGGCCATCCTTAGTTTCCTTGGGATAGTTTCACTGGACCCCCCATTGGGTGTCAATTGGCCATTGCTCCATTAGAGTAAATGGAACCAGATCCCCGACTGCTGTCAATTGGCCATTATTGTGTGATTTACAGCACCTCAGGATCTGCACATACACCTCTCATGTGCAAACAGTAGCACCTCTACCCTTGTGACTAAGCTGAGTATCACCTCTTATCTCTGTTGCACGAACCAGCAGATTGTGTGGAACAAGTTCTATAAAACACAAGCTGATGGGTTGAGAAAGAGTCAATCTGAATTGTATTTAAAGAGGGAGAGGCCAGCCATGAGGGTCATGTAATTTATGAAATTCCAGTAAATCATTCACGGTTACTCCCAAGGTATATATGAATCCGATTCTGTCTTTGGACTATAGAGAGAGGAAAGGGGCTGTGCTAGACAGGTTAGTGCATCTCTTCAATTTTACAGAGAACTTGGAGGTGAACGGAATCACTGTGTGGCTCAAGGTAAGAGTTTTTAAGCCGTGTTAAATTATTGTTTGTAATCTTCCCTGGTCTGCTGCAAAGCGGGTAAAGGCTGGAGATATATCTCAGGTGCACGCTCCCGCTGTAAAGCCCCATGAGGACGACAGAGCCGGGATAAAGCGGCTCAGTTTGTGCAAAGGAAAAGAAGCCTCACTCCTGGAGTGGTGTGTGAACCAAATAGGGAGATTTTCAAAGGCAAAACCAGAAGCGAGGGGGCCAGCGTCTGCTGCAACTCCCTGGGAGTCTGGCCTCGGACTCCCTTCAGCTGCTTTGAACGTCTCAGGCTTAGGGAACAGAGAAGAACCAGTCGACATAATTGATTTGGACTGTCAAAAAGCCTTCGGCGAGCTCCCTCACTGTAGGGCAGTGATGGCCGACCCACAACATTTTGGCACCCGAGGCGGGGAGCTCAAATGATGCTCCCATGCCCCTTTGCTTGGGCCAAAACTTTGAAAGGTCTCAATTCTGCCTTCTTCCTCTTCTACTCCTCTCATGGTCCTTCTCTGCTACCTATCCCAGTAAAGGAGAACTAACAACTTAAAATGCTGTGTTCAAAAATGTTAAGTAACACTTAACTTTCAAACGCCTGAAAAGCAAATGTAACTTGTCTTGCCTGCATAGTAAACATTGGCACTTTTATCTGTTTGAATAATCAAAGTGGGGCTTTCGTGCCTTCTTGGTTGCAAAGATTTGAACTGCTTCCTGAAGGTCCACAGTCTGGGCCAGCTCATGCTCTACTGAGATGGTTGCAAGGCTGACCAGTCTCTCCTGTGTCACTGTCGAGCGTAGAGGTGTTTTTATTAACTTCAGCTTGGAGAAGCTGCGTTTTCCACTGGCAACTGGTACAGGAAGTGTTAGCAGTACGCGCAGAGCAACAAAAGCATTTGGAAAGAGGGTGGTCCTCTTATTTGTGCACTTATATTCCAGAACAGCCTTTGGAGTTGATCCTGCTGAAATGTATCTTGAAAGGGCTTTCAGTTCATCCCCTAAATCACTCGCATCAATATCACGCATGTCATCATGTGTCATCAACACTGTCTCTAGTGCCCTGCATTGCTGGTGTAGGTCTTCTTCAGGTATAGTGAGGAGTTTGGGAATATCACACAACATCCCAAATCTACTGCTGTGTTCCTTGAGCTGCATGAAACGTTCTTCAGCTGACTGGATTGCACAGTGTAGCACCTGGTTAAAGAATTCAACTTTGAATTGTTGTTTGGGGTCTCTTATGGGATTATCCCGTGCCTCGTAATCAAAATGTCTTCTTCTTCGGTGACTCTTCTATTCTTGAATGGGTGGGAAAATAGCTTCAGTGTGAAGTTCCTCTGCCAACTTCTGTGCACTCTTCAGAACATTTTAAAATCCCTCATCTGACCGGTAAGACTGTAGGTGTGACTTTGCTTTGTCCAGTTGTTCCATTGCTCCAGATATATCAAGGTCAACACCTTGGAGTCTCTTGCTTACAACATTTATTTGAAACAGTAGGTCATGCCACAACACTAAGCCACACAGAAATGTGAAGTTATGTATGTTTCTGGTGATTCCATTTCCCTCTGCCACTGTTCTCCCATGAACAGTTCCTGTCATAGCCTTATCCTCCATAATGGCAACTATGGCATCATCTAGCTTCCCAATTTGGTGTGTGATAGGCTTTATTGCCTCCACTCGACTTTCCATTCGTGTAGCACTCAGTGGTTTCAGTGTCAGAGAGGATGTTCCCAGATGTTGCTTCAAAATTTGCCATTGACGAGTTGATGCAGAGAAAAATACACAGATGCTTTGAATTACATTAAAAAATCCAGCAGCCTCACTGGAAGCTGATGCTGCATCACTGGCCACCAAGGTCAATGAATGAGAACTGCATGGGACAAAAAAAGCCTGAGGGTTTAACTCTCGGATCCGTGTCTGCACTGCTCTCTTCTTTCCTCTCATGTTGGCACCATTATCGTAGCCCTGATCTCTCCTGTCAGCTCTCGCAATTCCCGTATCTTCCAGCTTTTTAAGAAGCACATTTGTCATACCAGCTCCTGGTATCAATAAAGTCTAGAAAATGCTCTCTGACAGTCACCATTGCAGGGACATTTTCACTAGGTTCTGTGGTTGTTACAAAATGCACCATTAAAGTCATTTGTTCCGTATGGCTGATGTCAGGTGTGCAGTCCACAATAACAGAGGAATATCTTGCTGACTTCAGATCTGCCACAATCTTCTGTTTGACTTTTCACAAAAAGAAAAGGAGGACTTGTGGCACCTTAGAGACTAACAAATTTATTTGAGCATGAGCTTTCGTGAGCTACAGCTCACTTCATCAGATGCATCCGAGCTGTAGCTCACAAAAGCTCATGCTCAAATAAATTGTTAGTCTCTAAGGTGCCACAAGTCCTCCTTTTCTTTTTGCGAATACAGACTAACACGGCTGCTACTCTGAAACCTGTTTGAATTTTGTTGCCAGTAACTGGATGATCTCATTTGGAATTGTTTTTCCAAGGTAGTGGTGTGTGTACATTTCTTGGGTGGTGACTCTTCTTAGATGCTCCTGGAGAACAGCATCAAACTCAGCCCTCAGCTCCACAGTTTTAAGGAAGTTTCCATTGTTTGGCACATACAGCTGATCTGCAGTGCCATGCAGGGCTAGGGTTTGGGTCGCGAGCATTCTCACCATGGCCATGAGCCTTTTCAGAACATTTTGCCAGTAAAGAGACTCTGATGCCGTCTTCTCTTGATGCTGATCATCTCTGGTGGCCTTTAACCTTAGTCTCATCTCAAGCTCTTTCCACCTGTGGAATGCTCTCTGCTGATTTGCTGCCTTCTTGTGGCATGCCAGATTTCTAGCCCAATTTTTCCAGTCCTTTGTTCCTGTAGAACCCAATGTGGCTGGAACATTAGACTGGAAGAGTTTTCAACAAAACCAGTATGGAGCATTCTCGGTTTTTGAGTACATAAGCCATGGCCTATCCACTTTGTCACCATTGGGGATTTCACGCCAGTAATGTGTTGGATGGAAACTTCTATTTCCATTGTCTTTGGGGAACATACGTTTTTCACTTGCTGTGGCCCGTGCAGTACAAGGAAGTCCCTCAGGCTACTGCTCAGGGGGGTCCACAGTCCTGGATCCTCTAGACTCAAGGAACTAAACTCAGCAGCAGCTGTTTCCTTGCGCCTCCACCACACTCTTCTCTGATCTACACTTTTCTTCAGGACTGTGCCTGGTTACATCCATTGGAGATGGAGATATGGATGCTGCAGTAGCTGCCAGGTCACCCGCACTCTGACTAACTGGAAGATCAGGCCTCTCCTCACCACTCCCATCCTCTGTGGGGCCGGAAGGCTCACCGTGAGCATTTGTGTCTATGTCTCTCAGGAGAGCTCCTTCCTGCTTAGATAGAAAAACTTCCTTTTCTTGCTTGCTTTTTCTGAATGCTGCCCCAGAGGGGCGTTTTCTTCTTTCACTCATGGTGGCTGTTCTGGGCCAGCGACAGTGGCTCTCAACACTCAGTTGAAGGGGACAAATAAGCAGGCTGGTAGCAGGGCCTGAGCGAGGGAAGATATCAGCATCTTAAGGGCCTAACTGGAGTACTTCAATTCACGGCCTGTTCTCCTCAAGTGGGTTCAGGGAAGAAGCAGGAAACCGGAAGCTCCTTGAGAAGCTGGGGTTAATCAGTCCAGGCTCCTGGGGGTGCTTGAGAGGTACATAAGAGGCTCCTCCTCTCTCTCCCTGAAGCTCCTGCTGCTTTCTGTGATTCCCTCTCCCCTTTTCTCCTGCCTGCCTGTTATGTCTCTTGTGCCCTCCTTCCTCCAGCCCAGCACCCCCCATCTCTGACAGGTTTCAGAGTAGCAGCCGTGTTAGTCTGTATCTGCAAAAAGAACAGGAGGACTTGTGGCACCTTAGAGACTAACAAATTTATTTGAGCATAAGCTTTCATCAGCTACAGCTCACTTCATCGGATGCATTCAGTGGAAAATACAGTGGGGAGATTTATATACACAGAGAACATGAAACAATGGGTGTTACCATACACACTGTAACGAGAGTGATCAGGTAAGGTGAGCTATTATCAGCAGGAGAGCGGGAACCTTTTGTAGTGATAATTGAGGTGGGCCATTTCCAGCAGTTGACAAAAAAGTCTGAGGAACAGCGGGGGGAGGAATAAATATGGGGAAATAGTTTTACTTTGTGTAATGACCCATCCACTCCCAGTCTTTATTCAAGCCTAAGTTAATTGTATCCAGTTTGCAAATTAATTCCAATTCAGCAGTCTCTAATTGGAGTCTGTTTTTGAAGTTTTTTTTGTTGAAGAATTGTCACTTTTAGGTCTGTAATCGAGTGACCAGAGAGATTGAAGTGTTCTCCGACTGGATTTTGAATATTATAATTCTTGACGTCTGATTTGTGTCCATTTATTCTTTTACGTAGTGACTGTCCGGTTTAGCCTACGTACGTGGCAGAGGGGCATTGCTGGCACATGATGGCATAGATCACATTGGTGGATGTGCAGGTGAACGAGCCTCTGATAGTGTGGCTGATGTTGTTAGGCCCTGTGATGGTGTCCCCTGAATAGATATGTGGACACAGTTGGCAACGGGCTTTGTTGCAAGGATAGGTTCCTGGGTTAGTGGTTCTGTTGTGTGGTCTGTGGTTGCTGGTGAGTATTTGCTTCAGGTTGGGGGGCTGTGTGTTAGCAAGGACTGGCCTGTCTCCCAAGATCTGTGAGAGTGATGGGTCGTCTTTCAGGATAGGTTGTAGATCCCTGATGATGCGTTGGAGGGGTTTTAGTTGGGGGCTGAAGGTGACGGCTAGTGGCGTTCTGTTATTTTCTATGTTGAGCCTGTCCTGTAGTAGGTGACTTCTGGGTACACTTCTGGCTCTGTCAATCTGTGACTTTGTCCTCACCCATAACACTTCAATCTCTTTGGTCACTCGATTACAGACCTAAAAGTGGCAATTCTTCAACAAAAAACCTTCACGTTGGTGTTTTAAAAATAAAGGCTTTTACCCTTAAATTTAAGCGAGGGATAGAAAGAGGGTTTGATGTCTTTTATAACAGGAGCTAAACTATTTTTTACATGGTTTAAGCAAGATTTGTTTGATACTTTTAGTAGAAACAATTGTGTCTGACTTCTGTTTATATTTATCGTATATTAACCAAACGTTTTTTTTCCATTTTTTTTAAGTAGCCTGAGGGATTTTGTCGCTCTTGTGGGATTTGTAGGATCTAGGGTTTTTGTGGGTGTGACAGGAATAACAATGCAAGAAACAATGTGGGGGCGGGTCGGCGTGGGATTAAGATGACAGTCCCACGCCGGGCTCCTCCCTGGAGTTCCCACCCTGTTATTTCCGGGCATGTCGGTGGCAGGAGAGAGTTGGGAGACATGTTTTCACCAAAACTTTTCTCCACCCCAAAATGCAAGTTTGGGGCAACTGAAGCATTTTGTGAATTTGTGTCAATTTCGCCATATTGCAGCAGCAGCAGCAAATCCTAGAAAGAAAAAAAAAAAAAACCCGGAAAGGGTGGAAATGTTTCACCTTCACAGATCCAGAATTAAACGTTTTGATTTTTTCAACTCAAAATGTCTTTTCAAAATGGATGGCAACCTTTATATTTAAACCATTTTAAGAATGTTTTTAAATGCCGGAAAATGAACCCAAACCATTTTTTGTTCGGCTTTTCGGTCGGATGAGAATTTTGGTTCAACCGAAAATGATTTTTTATTTCCTGATCTTTTGGAACTGCCAGTGAACCAAAAAAATCGGTTATTTGTGCAGCTCTGTTGCCTGGTGCTTTTCCCTCTGAATCTGGGCTGGAATTCCCTTTCCTGCCTCATTTTGGTCTTGACTCTCTCCTCTCCCCTCAGGCAGAGCTCGCTGTATCAGCCGGGACAAGGCCCCGTTCAGCTCCGAGCCCAGCCCCGTGGGCCTCCCAGCACCAGGATGGTTTCCTTCCTCCTCTGCCTTCTCCCTGCTCTCCTAGCTACAACGAGTGCACAAACTACCCCACGTGAGTCACCTGCTTCTGTGGCCATCTAACCCCTCCTGGGCTTGGACCCTTTATACCCCCCGGACCCCCAGTCAGGGGAACATCCAGCATGTGCAGGGAGGGGGGATTAGCTCTGTGTGGGGTACAAGGCTCTGTCTACACTACGGCTACTGATGTGTCCCAGCACTGTAGCTGGGCCGGCAGAGGCCCGTAGTGAAGACGCCGCCTGTCCCAATGGACGGGGTTTTCCATCCTTCTAGGAACTCCCCTCCCCGAGCCGGTAGCCAGGCTGAGGAAACATCCACCCATCGGCCTGCACCTACTCCAGGGGTTAGGTCAGCCTAGCTGCGGCGCTCAGGGTGTGGACTTTTCAACCCCTCCGAGCACTGTATCTATATCACCCTGTTTAGGGTAGACCAGGCCCGAGGGACACCATTACCAGATACTGCCCTGAATTCTTATTTCCACGAAGGCCCCTCTGCATTGCTTTGGCAACACAAAGGGGACTCAATAGAGGAGTAAATTACACTGATAGGGGACTGAGTGTGACCTGGAATCAGGCCTACAATTTCCGGTAGCAGAGGGCTCTCCAACTGAGCAAACAGAGGCAGAATGAGATCCAGTGGCTGGGAGTTGAATTTAGACCAATTCAAGGTGCAGCTTGTGTGCAGGGCGCTGTACATAAGGACTGAAGGGCAGAGATTCTTCACTTATAGGTCACCAAGAGGTCTGTGCGTGTCCACACGCTGTGGTTAATTCCACTTGTATCTGTGCTAATTTGGGGAACACAGGACAATGAACGTCCTTTTGTTCTGTTTTTTGCCTGGCAATTTCCATCCTTCCCATTCCCCACAGATTGCGAATGGCTGGGCTGATCCAGAGGGATGTGGGCAAAGTTGGCTTTACTTTAAGCTCAGAGCCGTGTAACCAGGCTCTAAACCTGGGGGATCAGTCCATCAGAGAGCCTTCCCAATGGGGATCAATCCCCATGAGACTAGGGGCCAAGACAGCTGGCTTCTGTACCCCAAACCTTTCCGTCAGACCCCTCTGCTGGCTGGCTAGCAGCCCAGAGAGCCTGGCTACACTCACATCAGTGGCCTTTCCCTATTTCTATGCAACCAGATAACTTCTGAACGCTGTGTTCCATTAACTCCAGAATTTTAGAGGATGTTCTAGACATTGCTGGGCAGAATCACATTGACTTTGGGGGAAATCAGAAAACCGGAAGAGGGAGATCAGGGAGACACAGAGCCGCTGGCCTCTGGCCAGCCGAGCCACACTTTCAACCACCCTTGTAACTGTGTGTAGATCAAAGAACCGGTTTGTGGTGCCTTTGACATCTTCTAGCCCGTCAACCACCCCCCCACCAGACCAGCTCTGCCCAGCATCCCCCTGGAGCTTTAACATGTTACACCCTGAGCGGCTGGTCTCCCAGACAGAAAGAAGGATGATGGTGGTGGTGGGGGTTAATTGGGGACACACAGAGCCCCTGACATGGGGGGAGAATGGGGCACCCTAGTATGGGAGATGGGTAATGGGGGGCACACAGAGCCCCTGGAATGAGGTAGGGGATGGGGGGGCTTGCATGGTGTCCCTGCAATAAAAGGGGGTGGGGAGGGCACACAAGGAGTTTGTGAGGATCAGTTGGGGCTGCCAGGAGCCCTGGCCGGTGCGACAGACTCAGCCAATGCACACTGCAAAGCAAGTGACTCACCGGTCCTGTGAATACCTGTACAACGGGAGCCACGTCTGAGGTGGGCGGAGTATAGTTTGTGGGTGGAGCTTGGGAAGAACATCATCCCCTTCACCAGTCCCCAGTGGGACCCCCGGGTACCATTGGCCCTGTCATAAATATAAAGGGAAGGGTAAACACCTTTAAAATCCCTCCTGGCCAGAGGAAAAACCCTTTCACCTGTAAAGGGTTAAGAAGCTAAAGGTAACTTCGCTGGCACCTGACCACAATGACCAATGAGGAGACCAGATACTTTCAAAAACCTGGGGGTGGGGGTGGGGAAACAAAGCCTCTCTGTCTGGGTGATGCTTTTGCCGTGGACAGAACAGGAATGGAGTCTTAGAACTTAGTAAGTAACCTAGCTAGAGATGCGTTCGATTCTGTTTGTTTAAATGGCTGAGAAAATAAGCTGTGCTGGAGGGAATGGATATTCCTGTTTTTGTGTCTTTTTGTAACTTAAGGTTTTGCCTAGAGAGATTCTCTATGTTTTGAATCTAATTCCCCTGCAAGGTATTTGCCATCCTGATTTTACAGGGGTGATTCTTTTACTTTTTCTTCAGTTACAATTCTTCCTTTAAGAACCTGTTTGCTTTTTCATTGTTCTTAAGATCCAAGGGTTTGGGTCTGTGTTCACCTATGCAAATTGGTGAGGATTTTTATCAAACCTTCCCCAGAAAGGGGAGGGGTAACCTTTGGGAGGAATTTGGAGGGGGAGAAGACGTTTCCAAACGGACTCTTCCCTAATAATAATACCTGTTAGATGTTTGGTGGTGGCAGTGATAAAGTCCAAGGGCAAAAGGTAAAATAGTTTGTACCTTGGGGAAGTTTTAACCTAAGTGGGTAAAAGTAAGCTTAGGAGCTTTTCATGCAGGTCCCCACATCTGTACCCCAGAGTTCAGAGTGGGGAAGGAACCTTGACAGGCCCAGGGGCTGAAATTGTGCAATTGCTGAGTGTCCGGGAGGAAATCGGGTCCGTTAACCCCTCGGCTCGTTTGTAGCAGAGGGGGAAGACTGGGGTAAGGGACATTTCAGAGTGACACTGTTACATCACAGTAAGAAGGAAATACTTGTTCTTCTTTCTCCAGCTGCGACCCTGACATGTAAGACGTGCTTTGGTCAAACAAAGGAGTGCAGTTTTGTTCCAGGGATCTGCCAAGACAACAAGGCTACTGGTGGCTGCCTCTCTGTGGCAGAAGATATTAAACTGGGTAGGTGACATTGCCGTCACCCCAGGCACATCCCGCCCCTCAGTCTGTCACCATCCTCATCGCTACGGCCAACCCCAGCACAATCCATCCACAAAGCACATTCCCCCGGCACACAACACTCAGTCTGGGCTCGACGCTTGATTTGTTCAGGCAACGTCACTGTGTTTTACGTAGCGATTGGAAGACGCGGCAGTTTGGAATCCTGGCCCCATTGGAGTCAGTCACAAATCTTCCACTGAGTTCAGTGGGGCCAGGATTTTACCCCTGGAGCTTTATTTATTGAATTTCATTCACTACGGTTTCAGCTCCACAATGCACGGCTGCGCTGCAACAAGCAAAACTGCTTTGGGTGGAAATGCACGTTCTGAATTGTGTTAAAAATAGAGATTGGCGCTGAGATCCCTTGTACACTGTCGGCTTGCCCCCAAAATCTTGTAGGAAGCGGTTAGTCACCTACTCCGGGCAGGAGCCCGGCCGCACACGGTTTTTCCACTTGCTTCAGATGCAAATTCAAGATTCTTTAAGTCAAACGGGCAAAAAGTGATTCCAAACCTTCTCTGTATTCAACTCTCTGAGCTCTTCAGGCCGGCAGATTTCACTAGTTCCCTTCATTTCTCAACATTTGCCCTTTGGAATCAAAAACCTCAGTTACAGACCCGCTTTCTGTTCATCTTCCACTGAATTAAAGAGAGTAAATGGCTCCTTCCATTTACTCTGTAAGAAGAATGCATAGCACACCGCCAGCTTTAACGTGGTCTGTCTTTATCTAATCTATCTATCGCCACCCCCCATCTATCTATCCCCCCACACCCCCTCTATCTATCATCTATCTCTGTCTCCACCCCCCTTCTATCTATCTATCTATCTATCTATCTATCTATCTCCACCCCCCATCTATCTAATCTATCTATCCCCACACCCCCCCCTGTCCCCACCCCCCATCTATTTTATCTTCATCTCCACCCCCCATCTATTCTATCTCCATCTCCACCCCCCATCTAATCTATCTCCATCTCCACCCCCCATCTAATCTATCTATCCCCACCCCCCATCTATCTAATCTATCTATCCCCACACCCCCTCTCTGTCCCCACCCCCCATCTAATCTATCTCCATCTCCACCCCCCATTTATCTATCTATCCCCACCCCCCCATCTATCTATCTATCTATCTATCTCCATACATGCCACCTGCCTCTGACCACACTCAGGTCATTTTCCCAGCACAGTCACAAATGGGTTTATTGAAACTTCCACCCACTCAGGGTCTCTCTTCACCGCAGCCGTGAACCCATTTTAGCCCTAATCATCCCACCGCACCCCCTACTATCCACACCCAAAACCTTTTACCCTCTGGCTGGCTGATGCAGTTTGGGGTGTAGTTGAGACCCGGGTTCCTCTTCAACTTCCTGAACTGGACACAGGATCCCAGCAGTGTCGCCCCAGGACCAAATATGGAGGGAAAATAACCTCTCGACTGCTACTCGAGGTTCCCCTCCCAGCCTCTCATTTTCTGTTTTGGTTTTCTGTCTTTAACAAAGATGGGACCCAGGACATGTCCTTCTTCAAACAGTGTCTGAGTAGCTATAAAAGTGACATAAAAGTCCCCATCTCGTTCACTGTTGGGAATGGCCAGTATGTGAGGATCAACACCGCACAATGCAACGACGCAGATAACTGTAACTCGGGCGCACTGGAAGGTAAGTTGTGGGTCTGTTTTTACTGTCCCTGTTTCATGGCTTGTCCACAGGAACAGTTTGGACGGCGCTGAGCTGGGGCGTGACTGCAGCTCTCCGCGAGCCCCCTGCCGATGCACGTGACCATTCGAGCGCGTTGCAAGGGCACTCGCTCAAAGCACATGAACGAAGGGTTCACGCGCGTCAGCAGGGCGCATGTGGACAGCTGGGCCGTGGCAGGCTGGCGCAGGGTCGATTCACACCCCGGCAGATCCTTACACCCCGGATCCCCTTACTACAGTCGAATGGTTCATGTGGACAAGCCCCGGCACAATTGTATTTGTTACCGTTTCTCCCCTTTATTGTCCATTCACTCGAACGTCATTTCTGCCGCCATTGAAATGGCTGTAGCTGGCGGGTCTCCAGACCAGGGGGTGGGTGGAGCAGTCGGGGCCCATGTGAAATCAGACGGGCGAGGGCTGCAGGCGAGAGAGGGGGCAGCAGCCGGGATGGGCTCAAATGGAAACCTCCCTGAGCCTGTCAGGCTCCACTTCAAACTCGCTGGGGCCTGGAACCGATCGGCTGTGGCGTTCACAGATGGTGGTGTCACAGACAGACGGAGAAATGCCGTCGGGCTGGGGGTGGGGCCTTCACGCGCTCGGGCAATGCAGGGCACAGACGAGGGGTTTGAACGAGGTTTAACCCACCCTGTAACCGTCTCGCTCTCTCTCGGTTCTCAGTGCCCACGGGGAGCACCACCGAGAACGGCCTGCAGTGCCCCACCTGCTTTGCTCTGAACTTCACTGTCTGCAACAGCACCATCACCCCTTGTACCGGGGACGAGACCTACTGCCTGGATTTCACTGGGTTTCTAAAGAATGGTAAATGCTGCCAGCTGGGGACAGGGCGGGAGCTCCGCGGGAATCTCAGGCCTCGGGAACTCCCCAGAGAACTGGTGAAACCTAGAGTCCATGCTGGGCCCTTGGGCGGGTGGGGGCGGCCAAGGGGGGTTTTGGCCAGAGGGAAGGAGAGAGGAACTTGGAAGTTTTCCCTTCCTCACCAGCTCCCCCGGCTCAGTGATGCCGCCCGGCTCCTGGAGTTATGACAACGTGTCTCTTGCCATGGGAAGGGTTGTTATGTCAGTGATGCCGAGCTGGGGAGAGAACCCAGGAGTCCTGGCTCCCAGCCCCCACTGCTCTGACCACTAGACCCCACTCCCTGTATGTTTAAGGTGGAGCGAAGCCATTGCTCAGTGTGGAAGCTCCTGTTCTCAGTGTGTGTCCAGGACTCCCAGCGCTTTGGGGTGTTTATAAAATAACTGAACCGAGCGGTCGGGGCTGCCAGGGACGCTGAGAGCCGGGCGTGTTCCTCGAGGGGGCCGCGCGCTGGGGAAGGAGCCGCCCCCAGGCCATCAGCTGGGATCCAAACTCCAGCTTCAGTCTCTTGTGGAGCTGCAGAAAGGGGCGCGGGGGAGGCAAGAGGGGACCAGACGCCCGGCCTGCCGTGGCCGGTTACAGCGAGAGCAGGGAGAGCACCGGGAGGGTGGGACCGGGGGGCAGAGGCGGGAACCGCTGGATGGTGGAGACAGAGGTTCTGGGGGCAGAGAAGGAACCAGAGCTGCCCCCGCCTCATAACAACCTGGTTTCCTCCCTCAGGTCCATCTTCTTCGCCATTTGAAGCGAAAGGCTGCGCTACTGCATCTGCTCAGGACATTAAACCTGGAAGCACCCTGATTTCTACACCGTACACATTTTCCTTTTATTGGGGGGCCACTGTTCCGGCAGAGAAAATACCCACCCTCCCCCCGTCCACAACCGCCACCGCCCTAGAAACAACCCCCCCCACCCCCAATACAACCCCCACCCCCAGCCCCAATCCAACAACCCCCCCCACCCCCAATCCAACCCCCACCCCCACCCCCAATCCAACCCCCACCTCAACCAGACCCGCTCCAACAACCCCCCCTCCCAAAACTACCACCACAACCAAAAGAACCACCCTCCCCAAAACAACCCCTGCCACCACCGATGGAGCCAGCCCGGCTCTGGGGAAATTCTCCTTTGCCCTCTACCTGCCTGGCCTGACTGGGCTGCTGCTGGTGAAGCTGCTGTCCTGACCCCCTGCCCTGCACGGGCCACGTGGCACCTGGTGCCTGTGAGGAAAGGCCTGAATTCCCAGCAGCGCCCCCTCCGAGGCCCCCCCGCGCTGCCGGGGCGATGCAGGGGGGCCACTGCATAACCAAGAGTCTGCCCAGAATATGGGTGTGCGTCTGTCCTGGTACCTCACGGCTGGCTGGAATCTCTCTGTGCATTAGCAAATTCACTGAATAAATCAGGATCCGAAATAAAAGCCCCCGGTGTGTTGTTGTTAAGTACAGGTTGCCCATTGCTGGGCCCGTCCGCAGGAGACTGGGGCGCTGTCAGATGCATTAGCCACATAAGAATTTGCTTGGCTCTCTGTGTATGTGTGTGTGTGTGTAAATATAAAATCTGCAATAAAAATCTACATTCCAAATATAAAATCTGCAATCCAAAAATCTACATTCCAAGCACACCATGGAGGTTGCACACTGAAGCTCTGAGAAGTCAGGAAATGCCAGAACACACGTTGCCAGTACAAGCTTAATCCAATCCCCCGGCGCATTTGCATTGTGCTCCAGCCTTTGATTCACGATCACGCACTGTGTGTTCTCCACCGCAGCCCTGCCTCGGTCAATACGTCTGTTTCTTCTCAGTGGGGCACTACCCCAGGCCGTATTTCCCACTCGCTGTTCCAAGCCTGCGCTGCACTGAATGATTAATGACACCTCCTGGGCCTCTCTGCAGAGTTCTCGCCACAGGATCTGAGGGCATCACAAACCTTAATGACTTGGTCTGTGCAACAGCCCTGTGGGACCCGGGAAACTGAGGCATGGTGGGGCTCCACACAGGGAGTCCTGTCACACCTCTCCCCATGCACGTGGCCACACTGCTATCCACACTCGAGCATAAGAATGTAAGAATGGCCCTACTGGGTCAGACCAAAGGTCCATGTAGCCCAGTATCCTGTCTTCCGACGGAGGCCAATGAAAGGTGCCCCAGAGGGAATGAACAGAACAGGGAATCATCAAGTGATCCATCCCCTGTTGCCCATTCCCAGCTCCTGGCAAACAGAGGGTAGGGCCACCATCCCTGCCCATCCTGGCTAATCGCCACTGATGGACCTACCCTCCATGAATTTATCTAGTTCTTCTTTGAACACTGTTATGGTCTTGGCCTTCACCACATCCCCTGACAACCAGTTTCACAGGTTGACTCTGCGTTGTGTGAAGAAATACTTCCTTTTGTTTGTTTTAGACCTGCAGCCTGTTAATTTCATTTGGTGGCCCCTAGTTCTTTTGTTAGGAGGAGTAAATAACACTTCCTTATTTACTTCCTCCACAGCCTTCAACCTTTTATAGACCTCTCTCCTGTCCCCCCTCAGTCGTCTCTTTTCCAAGCTGAAGAGTCCCACTCTTAGGGTATGTCTACACTACGGAATAAGGTCGAATTTATAGAAGTCGGTTTTTTAGAAATCGGTTTTATATATTCGAGTGTGTGTGTCCCCACAGAAAATGCTCTAAGTGCATTAAGTGCATTCACTCGGCGGAGCGCTTCCACAGTACCAAGGCTAGAGTCGACTTCTGGAGTGTTGCACTGTGGGTAGCTATCCCACAGTTCCCGCAGTCTCCGCTGCCCATTGGAATTCTGGGTTGAGATCCCAATGCCTGATGGGGCTAAAACATTGTCGCGGGTGGTTCTGGGTACATATCGTCAGGCCCCCGTTCCCTCCCTCCCTCCGTGAAAGCAAGGGCAGACAATCGTTTCGCGCCTTTTTTCCTGAGTTACCTGTGCAGACGCCATACCACGGCAAGCATGGAGCCCGCTCAGGTAACCGTCACCGTATGTCTCCTGGGTGCTGGCAGACGCGGTACGGCATTGCTACACAGTAGCAGCAACCCCTTGCCTTGTGGCAGCAGACGGTGCAGTACGACTGGTAGCCGTCATCGTCATGTCCGAAGTGCTCCTGGCCACGTCGGCTGGGAGCGCCTGGGCAGACATGGGCGCAGGGACTAAATTTGGAGTGACTTCACCAGGTCATTCTCTTTAGTCCTGCAGTCAGTCCTATTGAACCGTCTTATGGTGAGCGGGCAGGCGATACGGATTGCTAGCAGTCGTACTGTACCATCTTCTGCCGGGCAGGCAAGAGATGAGGATTGCTAGTAGTCGTATTGTACCATCTTCTGCCAGGCAGGCAAGAGATGAGGGTGGCTAGGAGTCGTACTGTACCATCTTCTGCCGAGCAGCCATGAGATGTGGATGGCATGCAGTCCTTCTGCACCGTCTGCTGCCAGCCAAAGATGTAAAAGATAGATGGAGCGGGTCAAAACAAGAAATAGACCAGATTTGTTTTGTACTCATTTGCCTCCTCCCCTGTCTAGGGGACTCATTCCTCTAGGTCACACTGCAGTCACTCACAGAGAAGGTGCAGCGAGGTAAATCTAGCCATGTATCTATCAGAGGCCAGGCTAACCTCCTTGTTCCAATAAGAACGGTAACTTAGGTGCACCATTTCTTATTGGAACCCTCCGTGAAGTCCTGCCTGAAATACTCCTTGATGTACAGGCACCCCCTTTGTTGATTTTAGCTCCCTGAAGCCAACCCTGTAAGCCGTGTCGTCAGTCGCCCCTCCCTCCGTCAGAGCAACGGCAGACAATCGTTCCGCGCCTTTTTTCTGTGCGGACGCCATACCAAGGCAAGCATGGAGGCCGCTCAGCTCACTTTGGCAATTAGGAGCACATTAAACACCACACGCATTATCCAGCAGTATATGCAGTACCAGAACCTGGCAGAGCGATACCGGGCGAGGAGGCGACGTCAGCGCGGTCACGTGAGTGAGCAGGACATGGACACAGATTTCTCTGAAAGCATGGGCCCTGCCAATGCATGCATCATGGTGCTAATGGGGCAGGTTCATGCTGTGGAACGCCGATTCTGGGCTTGGGAAACAAGCACAGACTGGTGGGACCGCATAGTGTGGCAGGTCTGGGACGATTCCCAGTGGCTGCGAAACTTTCGCATGCATAAGGGCACTTTCATGGAACTTTGTGACTTGCTTTCCCCTGCCCTGAAGCGCATGAATACCAAGATGAGAGCAGCCCTCACAGTTGAGAAGCGAGTGGCGATAGCCCTGTGGAAGCTTGCAACGCCAGACAGCTACCGGTCAGTTGGGAATCAATTTGGAGTGGGCAAATCTACTGTGGGGGCTGCTGTGATGCAAGTAGCCCACGCAATCAAAGATCTGCTGATATCAAGGGTAGTGACCCTGGGAAATGTGCAGGTCATAGTGGATGGCTTTGCTGCAATGGGATTCCCTAACTGTGGTGGGGCCATAGACGGAACCCATATCCCTATCTTGGCACCGGAGCACCAAGCCGCCGAGTACATAAACCGCAAGGGGTACTTTTCGATAGTGCTGCAAGCTCTGGTGAATCACAAGGGACGTTTCACCAACATCAACGTGGGATGGCCGGGAAAGGTACATGACGCTCGCATCTTCAGGAACTCTGGTCTGTTTCAAAAGCTGCAGGAAGGGACTTTATTCCCAGATCAGAAAATAACCGTTGGGGATGTTGAAATGCCTATATGTATCCTTGGGGACCCAGCCTACCCCTTAATGCCATGGCTCATGAAGCCGTACACAGGCAGCCTGGACAGTGGTCAGGAGCTGTTCAACTACAGGCTGAGCAAGTGCAGAATGGTGGTAGAATGTGCATTTGGACGTTTAAAGGCGCGCTGGCGCAGTTTACTGACTCGCTTAGACCTCAGCGAAACCAATATTCCCACTGTTATTACTGCTTGCTGTGTGCTCCACAATATCTGTGAGAGTAAGGGGGAGACGTTTATGGCGGGGTGGGAGGTTGAGGCAAATCGCCTGGCTGCTGGTTACGTGCAGCCAGACACCAGGGTGGTTAGAAGAGCACAGGAGGGCGCGGTACGCATCAGAGAAGCTTTGAAAACCAGTTTCATGACTGGCCAGGCTACGGTGTGAAAGTTCTGTTTGTTTCTCCTTGATGAAACCCCCCGCCCCTTGGTTCACTCTACTTCCCTGTAAGCTAACCACCTGCCCCTCCTCCCTTCAATCACCGCTTGCAGAGGCAATAAAGTCATTGTTGCTTCACATTCATGCATTCTTTATTCATTCGTCACACAAATAGGGGGATGACTACCAAGGTAGGCCAGGAGGGGTGGTGGAGGAGGGAAGGAAAATGCCACACAGCACTTTAAGCACAGCACTTTAAAAGTTTACAACTTTAAAATTTATTGAATAACAGCCTTCTTTTTTTTGGGCAATCCTCTGTGGTGGAGTGGCTGGTTGGCCGGAGGCCCCCCACCGCGTTCTGGGGCGTCTGGGTGTGGAGGCTATGGAACTTGGGGAGGAGGGCGGTTGGTTACACAGGGGCTGTAGTGGCAGTCTGTGCTCCAGCTGCCTTTGCTGCAGCTCAACCATACACTGTAGCGTACTGGTTTGGTCCTGCAGCAGCCTCAGCATTGAATCCTGCCTCCTCTCATCACGCTGCCGCCACATTTGAGCTTCAGCCCTCTCTTCAGCCCGCCACTTACTCTCTTCAGCCCGCCACTTACTCTCTTCAGCCCGCCACCTCTCCTCCCGGTCATTTTGTGCTTTCCTGCACTCTGACATTATTTGCCTCCACGCATTCATCTGTGCTCTGTCAGTGTGGGAGGACAGCATGAGCTCGGAGAACATTTCATCGCGAGTGCGTTTTTTTTTCTTTCTAAGCTTCACTAGCCTCTGGGAAGGAGAAGATCCTGTGATCATTGAAACACATGCAGCTGGTGGAGAAAAAAAAAGGGACAGCGGTATTTAAAAAGACACATTTTATAAAACAGTGGCTACACTCTTTCAGGGTAAACCTTGCTGTTAACATTACATACATAGCACATGTGCTTTCGTTACAAGGTCGCATTTTGCCTCCTCCCACCGCGTGACTACCCCCTCAACCTTTCCCCCTCCCTGTGGCTAACAGCGGGGAACATTTCTGTTTAGCCACAGGCAAACAGCCCAGCAGGAATGGGC